CCCGCCTTGTACCTGCCCCTTCACCGCACTTCCTGACTTCCCGTTTCCCCACTGTACCTCCCTGTAGCTTTGGGTTTCTTTTTGTTTGTTTATTTTGTTTTGTTTTGAGGGGGACAGAGTCTCACTCTGTCACCCAGGCTAGAGTGCTGTGGCGTCAGCCTAGCTCACAGCAACCACAAACTCCTGGGCTCAAGTGGTCCTCCTGCCTCAGCCTCCCAAGTAGCTGGGACTACAGGCATGCGCCACCATGCCCGGCTAATTTTTTCTCTATATTTTTAGTTGTCCAATTAATTTCTTTCTAATTTTAGTGGAGACGGGGATCTCGCTCTTGCGCAGGCTGGTCTTGAACTCCTGAACTCAAACGATCCTCCCGCCTCGGCCTCCCAGATTGCTAGGTTTACAGGTGTGAGCCACCACGCCTGGTGAAAGGTAGAATAATTTAAGCAACAAAATAAATAAATAGCACTGTATTATAACCCAAAGTATAAAACTAAAGAAAAAATCTGTAAGTCGATTTTAACTTTAATAAATGGAAAAGAAATATCTAAATGAGAGAGCATGAACAAATGTCCCAATGAGAAGAATTCAAAATAATATACATAGATATTCCACTCTCAGGGAGCTTCACTCCTTAATTGTGGGCTGAACATGGTGACTTCCTTCCAAGCTGAATAGTATGTAATAGAATAAAAACACTGACTTTTATAATTGAAGAAACCTGACAAATCGTAACTGTGACAACTGATCAAGGTTAAGATGATCAGTGAGTTGTGTTGATAGCATGTACTCCTGATATAATGTGATACAAAAGGCACTTTACCTCTGTAGTCTTCTGAAAAAAAATCCCAAAAACATAATCCGATCATGAGAAAAACATTATATATATCCAAATTTAGAGGAATTACACAAAATACCGGATTAGTACTTCACAAACCTGGCAAGGTCATCAAAAACAAGGAAATTCTGAGACTCTCATAGGTAAGAGGAGTCTAAGGACACATGATTACCAATATAATGTAATATCTTGAATCAAGTCTTTTAATAGAAAATACATTAGGTAAAATTAAGGAAATCTGAAAAAGCATAGACTTTAGTTAATAGTAATGCATCAATATTGATTTGTTAGTTTTGACAAATGTGCCATACTAATGAAATTTATTCATATAAGAGAAGAAAATGGATATTGGATATATGAGAGCACTCTATACTATATTTACAAATTTTTGCAAATTTAAAGCTATTCTAAAGAAAAGATTATTTTAAAAAATGGGTCTGGCAAAGTCATAACGTGTAACCAAATGTTTGTACCCCCATAATATCCTGAAATTTAAAAAATGAGTTAATTCCAACATAATCTTCTATCCACATTCTTTTTTTTTCTTTTTTAAAATTTATGCTTGCCTCGTGCGTTTGATAGAGGTTTCTTGCCAAATACCCTGCTGTCAGATGCCTTTTGGGGAATTCTGACTCTTTTGTTTTGGTACATATTTAGATAATGTTAGTTGTTTTTACATCTTGTATTTTATCTATAGTGGTCAATGAACCATATGCTATATAATTACTTTTGGGATTTACTCTTTCTTATCTTTTTCTGTCTTTTTTCTTAAGGGCCTACATAATTCATAGTTTTAATGGTCATTCATTCATTCAACAAATATTTGCTGAATATCTAATACACACACACAACAAAGATAATAATGAAGAAAATAGCCTTATGGAATATACAGGATAATTTGGAAGGTGCAGCATATAAATTTATTAACAATTCTAGCTTAGTGGGCATATAGGTCTATGTTTAAAAATCGACAATATCACTTAGCTATTTTATGTTGATTAAATTATGTAATCCCTCTAAACTTTAGTTTCCTAATCTATAAAATTGGGAAATAATAATACCTGCCTCATATGGTTGCATGACATTTAAATAAAATAATTCATATAAAGAGTTTACATGTACTTGGTAAAAGTGCTTGATAAAAAGTTAGCAAATACTTTCAAAATTGCCTTACTCCAGGTAAATCAGCTTTTAAAATAAATGCCTATAGGACACAATTCTCATTTTGTCATTCTCTGTTAAGTTTTGCTTGGTCAACTATTAATGTTTATATTGTTATTTTTATGTATATGTGCATGCATGCATGCATTTCCTGTTTCCTATACTAAGGCAAGGATTTTTGTGTTCCTTTCCTGTATCCTACTTTGTAAGTTTCACCAATATATTGATTTTGCTGATTATGTGGATGTAAATGGTAGCCTTGGTATTTTCATGGAAATAAACTGTGGGGCCCTCCATTCAGCTAAATACCACCACCTCTACTAATGAGGCCCTGTGCACAGGATTGTACCATGCATTGGAAAGAGGCCATATAGCTCCTTAGTTCCACTAGTATTTATTTTCCTTACCAATCATCGACCAGCAGAATTGTTCATTCCATTAAAGTCAAAGTTCCTGGAGGGTCCCATTTTTTTATTATTTTAGAATATTATGGGGGTACACATATTTTAGTTAAATAATTTGCTTTTGTACAGTTTGAGTCAAAGTTATAAGTGTACCCTTCACTCAGATAGTGTGCATTGTACCTGTTAGCCGTGAATTTACCATCCCCTCCTCCCCCCTCCCACCTGCTTGATTTCTGTTGAATTTTACTTCCATATGGCACATAAGTGTTGATCCATTATTTTCGTTTTTAAAAGTGGATATAATATAGCAAGAGAGAACAAAGAAAATATAAAATATTAATTCAGAAAGCAAAAAAAGCTGTGTATTTATTCCCTAGATAGTGAGAGAATTAAATTCTCACAGAAATTCAATTTCCTTTAATACCGAGAGATTAATTCAAGGTAACAATAGAAAGACCCTTGGGTTCTTTTGAAGTTGAAAAGGCAGCTGTGATCAATGTTAAGCAAACTTGATGGTCCATATCTCGCATCTCATCTGTCATCACACAGTATTACTAAACTCATGGTTAGGATTATAGATAGCATTTGCATATGTTGCTGATGGAAGTGTATTGTTTAGCATAGAAACTGTGAAGGACCTCTTTTTGTTAACGATGTTTTTCAAAATCATTGACAAAGGTTTTCTTTTTACATTTCTTGTTCAGTGATTACAAGAAAATGAAGGGGCACAGTTACTGCTTATGAATAAACATAATAATATTTAGATAACTACCTGAGACCTCTATTTGTTTTATTTCAGTACTGGCACAGTTTTATAATGCTCTCTCAAAACTCACAACAGTTATGTTTTTAATTTTTCTTACCTTTTAAGTATGTTCCTTAGAAAATAACATTTATCATTACAGAATGTGTAATTTACCTGGCTAATCTTCCAAAGGACATGAAGATTTTTTCCTGAATATTGGTATAATTTTTACATTCTTTTGAAACTATTTCTTCTTCATATTGTTATATATAAGGCTGCTTTTCTGTTTTTTATATTTAGCCTGTTTTTTGTTTTAATTAAGCAATAATATTTATCACGTTTATCAATTGTATAATAAATTGAAGGAAACGCTACACTTTTTAGGCATTATAGCATAGCCCACATTGGAGTTAGTTTATGTACATTCATGACAAAATGACATCTACTTTCACGTATAGTTTTTTTAAAAAACTATAAAAAATGTCTATGATGTTTGCTTCCTTGTTTGTAAAATGAAAGATAATAGATTGTCTCAACGGTGTCTTCTAATTCCAGCATTTTGTGTTCTATGAAAGACTGAAGTAGAAGAAACAGTTTCAACACAATGTAAGAATTATACCAATACTTCAGGAAAAATGTTCATGTCCTTTGGAAGATTAGCCAGGTAATTTATACATCCTATAATGATAAATGTGCTATTTTTTTATTTCAGGATATTATGGGGGTACAAACATTTTGGTTACATGTTATGACTTTGCCACACTGCTATTTTTTAAGGAACATAATTAAAATATACATACAACCTGTGAAGCTGGATATACTTGGGCGAAATTCAAGATTTTTTGATGCTTCACAGACTTCTTTCTGTATGCCTTTAGAGTCTATTCCTTTATCCACCTTGAAGAGAGAAGTACTAATGCATAACCAGTTTGTCATTGTGTTGTTATTATTTTTCTCTGTTTGCTTTGACCTATGAGTTCGAGATATTTACCATGATAGAATGTAGGGTATAGGGAGATGTTGGGAAATAGTTATTTTAATTAGGAATTATGCTTCTAAATTTCTTTTGTAAATAAAGTCACAAAAATAGACTTGTTAATTTCATGCACTTTCAAAACTGGAGAATGCTAGTTTACTACAAAGTGTGTAATTCCTTAAAATTGTAACTTTTCTAAAGATTCTCATTCTGCTCATTTAGAAATGGTGAAGGTGGGCTCCTTGGCCTCTTTAGAAATTCTATCCTGGACCAAGAGTCCAACATTTTTATCTGGTCTTAGAAGTCCTTCTATTTTGATAAAAGGTGCCTCTTTCATTTGGAATGCTTATTTTTTTTTCTCTTGACTTTTATCATTTTACAACCTGCTTTGGTATTAAAATTAAATATCCTAGGAGCCAGATTGTGCACTACGGGAGACCACCAGGAATAGATGCGGTATGCTTCCATTATACACATATTGCTGGAATGCTCTGATAAGGAAATATAAAAATCTACCCAATTAATATATAAAGTATGCAAATTTAGCATAGATTTTCATCCCTTTATCTTATTTTCTACAGCATTCCTAAAATATAGTTAAAAT